GTGCTTCACACTTAATCAGTTACAAACAAGAAATTATCTAGTGAATCGTAAGTGCACATTTGTCTGCTTATATGTTGCTGAGGTGACCGAGGCGTCGAGTTCTATGGACACCATCGCCATCACCGCCTCGTACCACGGGCCCAGGCCCGACCTAGGACGGTCAACGCCCTAGCCCGAACCCGGCCCAGGTCTGCGCAGCCCAAAACCCGAGCTTGGCGAGGCCCCATCAGAATCCACCTTGCCCGACCCAGGCTTTCGGGTAAGCCCGAGTCCATGCAATGTTCTAGGGCGCATCAAATCATGATGGGCTACTTGACCCGTTTGGCCAGTAGACCACGTTTTGCAGAGATCGCTTCGCCTCCCGTGGTGGTGGTATTCTTGTAGCGGTACCGAGCTTGCTTTCGTGCCGCCGGTGCCAGAAGTTTGAAATGGAAAGCCTGAAATCACTTTTCATCAAGATCACCATCAAGCGCTGCAGATGCTTAGTGGTCTATGCCTACTGCCCACCTGGCCGGCATGCCATATCCTATAGCCTCCTCCACACAATAAAATGTCTGTGTGCGAGTGATGTTTTTGAGATTGAAGTGTCGCGCCAATCGCTCCACCCTTGCTTTGTGAAATCGAAATTTCACCTCAGCTTCCTTTTAAATTGGATCAATTTATTTTTATTTGTTACTACCATGGAGATTGTTCCTCTACCTATTTCACAGCAAATTTTTATGACTTCATTTTTGGAAACAGTGTGCCTGGGAAATACAAACTCTCATTCTTCACCTCCATGAACACATCAGGTTTAAACTTAGCACCTTTTGTATTCCTAAATCATTCACTCTATTGTCTACTATACAATACCAGAAGTGAGGTCAACTAAGTGGCAATATACTTAGGCCTAGTATGTCAGCTTGTTATAGTTTATTAATAGAATATCATTGACCCATAGCTTTACAATTTTTCCCAGAGACTACTTATTTAGTGACAAACGTTTCGCAACAGCAAAAATTTGCAACAGATGGACGCACAAAGACAGAAACACTCTTAGATCTTGTCTCAGGAAATTGACTACCTCCAAGAGATGTAAAAGGTGCCATTGGCAGTCAATTATATCCAAAGATTTCAGAATCAAGTTGGTGTGCTAATTAAATTTGCATGCCTATGAGCCATTTTACAGAAGGCAATTAGAAATAGAAAGAAAGAAACAGTTCACAAGCCGGGCCGTGGGACGCATGCTGTTCTCTAAGCAGCTGGTTGGACATATGCTGTTCCACTTGTTTTATTGCAAATCATACACTTCAACATTTTTATTATCGTCATTATGTTTACACACAGGAGACCACAGCTTTCTAGTATTAGCAGCTTGTGTCTTAAAAAGGTTGAAAGGGAACTCCAGCAATTTTTTTAGCTGCCCAAGATAACTTAATCGTAAAATTTTTTAAGCAAAAATGTACCAACATGATTTAATCTGGCTAGTGCGAGCATGTTGTTAAAGGTATACCTGAAATCGAAAGAATGAAGACATGGAGGACGAACACAGACAACCACACTCTATGTGGTTGTAAAAGAGTGTAGTTGTCTGTGTTCTTCCTCTATACCTTTATTCTTTCAATTTCAAGTATGGTTTAATCTGGTTTGATGAGCTGACCTTGTCTTAAATCATAGAAATGGCGGCTCTCCTGAGCCAACTAAATAAACACTAAAGACCAAAAACGGTGTGACGGGGTGAGCTCGTCATAAACCACAAAATGGACGATCGCTCGTGACAAGCTCAGCACATCACAAACTCTTAAGAAATTAACTACATTTTCAGAATCCCCCCGATTTGTCTTTTCCAGCAATCTACTCCCCTGCTGGAAATGGCAGGCCTGTTCCAATTGAAATGCACGCCCAAAACCTATGAGCAAGAATGTGCAATTGGCGCCGATGAGAAAATCCGATGTTTTGCACATTGGTGCAACTGGAGATGCTGCAGAGAAGCCGCAGCACGGGGGAAGGCCAAAGAATCGGTTGAGGGAAAGTCAACTTTAGGGGGCAAGCGCCATGATGCCAATTGTGTCAATGTGCACGACACTCAGTTTGCTCATTACCGCTCATTCCAGCCAGTGGCGCTATGTGGCAGAGCCATTGTACGGGAGATAGCAAAGACCCATGCACTGCAGAGAAGTGAACTCGGTGCAGTATGGCAGTGACAATGCTCAATCGCCAAATTAGCACACCCTTGCAAAAATTTTCTATGGGACCGATAGAGATTTTTATGCGATCAATAGGATTTCATCGTACCGATGGGCATTTCTACTGGGCCGATAACAAGTTATATCGTACCAATACAGACTTCTCTTGTACCATTAGGAACTTCTGTGGGACAAGCAGGAACTTCTATGGGACAAGTAGAAACTTCTATGGGAACAACACAAATGTTTTCTGGTCCGGAATACAAGTGCCTATTGGTCCTTCAATAGGATCAATAACAAGTTGTACTGGTTAAACTGAAAGCTTCATTGGTGAAATGGAATGCATTTCGGATCGAGAACTTTTAATGGTCGACTGGGAATACAGAACATAAAATCTATTAAGTGGGCATCTATCAGGTTAAACAGTATGCTTAGTGGAGAAATTAGAGTTGTTATATACTAAAGTTTTATGTTTTGAGCACAGGAAAATAATTTTTGCCGCAAATATACCCGATGGCAGGCACGCAGCCAGGATTTTGATTCGCCCATGACAAAATACTGTATGAGGGGGAGGGGGGAAAGGAGGCCCCACCAAATGAAAGGTTTGGGAGGAGGGGGGGGGGTCCCATGGTTCCCCCCCCCCCCCCCCGTGCAGATACGTGCGTGCCCGATGGGTTCCTCTCTGTCAAATAAACATTTTTTTAGCTATATAACTTGGGTTGGGCCATGTAGACACTAATTAAATAAAACATTCAGTTAAAAAAGTGAATATGAACTCTTTTTTGTCACGTGTTTTAGAATTTCCTGATTATGTACTGTCCTCCTTCGTATTATAAAACATGCGGCTGCCAGTAAAACATAAAGAAAAGACTATGGGGAACGGGAACATTGTGTGTGCATATAGTATGCACAAGATTCATGAATAATTATATATAGGCAAGCCACGAAATTCAGGTATCATCGGAACTCTGCAGTTTTAGCGGTGTACTCTGTCCTTTTGTTTTCCAGGATGTTTCAGTAACAGTAATAGCCTAAACGATTGCACCAACTGGATTATGTATTCACATTAGACTTTGCTCCGTTTTATTCAGTTTTACCTGGTTTCGGAGTGGAACGTTCTCGTTTTTGTATAAATTTCGCTCCAGAACCGAGCCAATCAGAGTAAAACCGGGTCAAAAACAGAATAACACTAACTCAAAAATCTTATTATCATCTTTCACGATTGGTCCAAAGCTCTCCGACTTCCGACGTCGGGACTTTAAAACTTTGGCGGAGTTGGCGAAAAAATGCGATACTTCAGGCTTCCATTTTGCCATGTGAACGTATCCTGTTTGAGCCCTAGCAGAGGCTACGCGCTCGTTCTGGGGCGGCAGATCACGTGCACATTCTATCGTGGGCATGCTTTTTATTAACAGAAAAGAAAAGCCGGTAGTGTCGAATAACATCCAATAATTATTAACACCATGGAAGTCATTAAAAAAAAAAACACATAAAATGCGCACACACTCACACACACACGAAATAAGGATGACCTTCCCGAAATTATGAGCGCACCTTGTTTCACGCGCAGTAAGTGTCAGGCAGCGCTTTCCACTTTGTAGTTGAGCAAGGAAGTTCCTTTTTGAAAGGCATTTTACGCGCTTGTTGGCAGTTTGGGCCTTTAGTTTGGCTTCTGGCTTCCCAATGTTGTAGTTTTCCTTGATGCCGGGAAGAGTGTACACTCCAGCAATGAAGTTTTCGAGATTCAAAAGCCCTTCATTTTGCGTCCAATTAAAATGAAGGCCAGCCGAAACAGGGTACGTCAGACTTGTTACATTCGTCTTTGGCAGTAGCCTTTTCGGAAACTTGGACAGGAAATTGGTCTTAAAATCTCCCGTCACTTTCACAATCTTATCACTTGTGTCTTCACTAACTGGCCCAGTACTGTGACCGCTTCTGGTTTCATTGGTACTACTTAGTTCACGGGGAGTTTTTGTCTCACCGTGTTCCGAGACAACCGAGCTTGCAGAAACTGCTGTCGGCGACGTCGGTTCTGGTCCCTGGCCTGTTGTAGCATTTTTCAGGACACAACTTCGTCTCAGGACTGTTGTCCTTGGCAAGCTGGGTATACTTAGTGGCTCCAAGTATATTTTTTTGTTTGGGTTCATGGTCGCACAGCGCGACACCCTACGTGTCTCAAATCCAAATTTGAAAATTCGCACCGACGTCGTCCCGCAGCAAATGCAATTTCCTAATTAAAATGACAAATAAAAATTACTCCGTTATAAGTTTAATATATATTCAGTATCTACATTTGACAATTAAGTAATACCATCATTTTTAAAAACGTTTATTATTTTCTTAAGTGCATCAGTCACACTTGCGGGCTTGCGGGTTACACCACGTGACAATATAGAGTGAGCTGGAGTCAATAGAGTGAACAGTGGGGTCACCCGCATGCATAGCCCGCATGACATATAAAACCAAATTAAGTCTTCAAAGTGCAATTTATGCAAATATTTTGCTAAATTAAGGTCAATAAGTAAATTTTTTAAGTATTCGTTTACTTCAGCAAACAAAAACAAGAGTTAAAATACGAAGTATTATAGTCACGTGATACATCCCCTGCGTCAGGAAGTGGCCCGACGTGATAAACCGAACGGTCCGGCCGGAGGACAAGGAAGCGTGGGAGAAGGACGAACTGCTGAAGCTGCCGAAGCAACGTTCGCGGGAAGTCTAACCGCCTGAAGCACGTTGCAGAGTCGAGACCAGTTGAGCGGCCGGAATTTTACGAACGATTATGCAAGCGTACGTCTTGAGGACGACCATGAGCCACATATCTTGCAGCTTTAAGCACAATATGTGGGAGTAACTCTCGGCGCCGGTTGTTTCAGGATCGCAGAGTGACGCGGAAACCCAGTGACAGTAAGCGGGTGCTAGTACCTCCGACGAGATGAGTGACTGCCCGGGAGGGCTGGAGGAAGCTTGTATGAGACAGGTAATTTTAATTTCATTTTCGCGCTTGCGAAGCAATTCATAAGACGTATTTTTAATTTGAGATTTTCTTTAGTTATGCCGCCACAAGTACAAGGAATTTCATCGATAGGGGTGCCGTGTGTTTGTTTTCATATGCCCAGAAACTAGGTAAAGGTTATGTGTTTTAACATTTTTTTCTGTGCTGATAGGCTTAAGGTTAGAATGAATTATATCTGTCAAGGCGTGGCGCAGTGTGTGTCTATTTGGAGAAGAGGTATGTGTGTGTGTGTGTGTGCGTGCGTGTTCGTTTGTCAGTTCGTTGGGGGAGAGAGAGGAGATGAAGAAGAGGAGGAGGGTGAGGGATCACGTCGAATCATTCAAATCGTTAACTCTGACAGTAATGAGGTAAGAAGGATACCTGCTAGTTACACCGGTTCGGTTTTGTGCCAAACTCAAATTGCGTTTTGCCGCGTAAATATTGCTACAATTTTTTTTTTCATCAACAAAATTAATTTTGAGGCATGCCGTTGACAAATAGGACCCCTGTTTTCAATCCCAGTCCAGGTTATTCGCGACTCCAGCGAACTATAGATGGCGCGCTGCTCAGGCAAAATTCGGACGAAAGAAGGTCGTTTTCGTTGTTCAGCATGCGGACCATCACAAATTCCTGCACTGCAGCGTAAAATCGGTGTTACATTTGAATGCAAAGCGATTTTTCGACCCTAGAAACGTTTGTCTACTCAGTGCGTAGGAAGGACCCGGTGGAATCATTAAAATAATTACTGGAAACAATGTTTGTTTCTATGCTGCCTACGAGAACCAAGCAGCGATAGCGGACGACAGGGTCGGGACAACCTCTTCTCCTGAGCTTCTCGGCGCTGCCGCTACGCGGCGTCGATTTCGCTGGAGTCACGAATAATGCGCTGGTAAATTTCCTGTACATAGTGCTGCTTCAAAGAGGAACTGAAGTTTATGTCTTCTATGTGTGCATTGGCAATGGCATGTGGCTCAACAAGACTTCCCACACGAAAGTTCTCAAATAGAAAAGGGAATCAATGTTCATCCGGTAAGGTTTGGTAATTATCTCCGCCACAGATGGCCTCCTTGGCGAATTGTAACCGGCAGACCTTCAAGCCGCACAAAGGCTAAGCAAAGCCACAACTGGATGCAGCAAGACTAAAAGCTTTATAATATACTGTAAGGACTATGGCTTTATAATAAGCCTTTTATAGCAAAACATACTGATCTGAAAAGCGTTGTTTGTGGTTATTTTAAAGTGGTGTACGGAAACTTCGTCTTATTGTATTAATTCTGGTTCACTGCACAGTTAAAAGGTTTGTCTTCGTTTGCTGCCAGAGAAATATAGCTTGCGATGAACTAAATCAAAGTTATGACTGCTGGTGTCATGTACATATTCATAACTTTTTTTTATTAAAATAATTGTAATCAAGTGTTTTTATGGGTTTTAGCACTGTGATTAAGATGCGTCAATGTGTTTTCTAAGAAAGACAACTAATTTGCAGTTTGTATCTTCTCCTAAAATAGTTTGTAGATCTGAGCATGTATTCATACCTGAATATGTGCCAGGCATTCCCCAGTATGTGTATAATTGTTTACTAGGCCTGTAAGCTTCCCCACTACATCATTGCCGCTATGTTAGCGCTTCCCAGCTATTATTCGAGAGAGATAAGTGTTTCTCAAGATCAATTAGGTTGAGATTGTTTAGCGTTAATGTTTTTGAGTCCCCCATTTTTAATTCCTGACAGAGCGCTTCAATGTCCGTTTATTTTTGGTTTGCCGCTATTTATCACCACAAGCTAAAACATCACGCCACTGGGATTAACCTGAAGCTCACCTCATGATTAACGACGCTGCCGTCCACTGTCTTAAGGTGGGCCTACGTTCATGGGTACTTGTCTAGTGGTTCTGGAGTTGATGTTGCTGAGATAACCGAGACGCCGATTTCTACGATGGCCTCTGTCAGCATCATGGTCAATTACAGCTGGCCCGAGCCCGAACCAGGCCAATCAACGTGCTGGCCCGAGCCCGGCCCGGGCCCACAGTCAAAAGTCTGAGCCCATCCCAGGCCTGGGCTTTCGGGTAAGCCCAAGCCCGTGCCCAGTGGTATAATCTTTAATCCAATCGCCATATTGAGATAAAGACGTCAAAATTCCTCAGTTTAAATGTCGGAAGTGCCTCAATAAGAGCAGGTATAAATATTAGTAGCAAATTTAATGATAAAAAAACTGCGCCGACTTTACTCAACAAGATTAACAATTCAATCAAGCGTTTCGTCTCCCATGCGGGGAACATCATCAGTGAAACCTTCAACCAGGAATGAGTGAAAAAACTTCAACAATCTTATTTAAGCAAGTCCGCATAAACATCGTGGGAGGGGGCCGCGGTTAGAGTTGCAAGCTGATGAGTCACTTCAGATGAACCATGATTCCACCAACCTTCGTGGACCCCACCTTTGTTCACACGCCAGAGTGGACGCATTCTCAAAGTCGAAACAGTGACCCGTATTCCAACAATGGTCTACGAGTTCCGTCTTCGCTGTGTTTGTTTAGGCGAGTACAGCGCTTCCAGCCTGTCTCCCCAATGTAGGATGTGTCACCGTCTAGACAGTTCACTTTATACACAACACCGCACTGGGACTGTGGGGGGGTGTAATCTTTAGTGATAAAAAAAAAACTGCTCCGACTTTACTCAACAAGATTAACAATTTAATCAAACGTTTTGTCTCCCATCCGGGAAACATCGTCAGTGAAACCTACAAGCAGGAATGAGGGAAAAAACTTCAACAGTCCTATTTAAGCAAATCCGCGTACACATCGGGGAGGGGGCCGCGGTTGGAATTGCAAGCATTGATGAGTTTCTTCGGATGAACCATGATTCCACGAACCTGCGTGGACCCCACCTTTGTTCGCGCGCCAGAGTGGACGCATTCTCAAAGTCGAAACAGTGACCCGTATTCCAACAATGGTCTACGAGTTCCGTCTTCGCTCTTGTCGCATGCATGGCCTTCGCAACGTCCCTTTTGTGTTCGTTTAAGCGAGTGGAGCGCTTCCGGCCTGTCTCCCCAATGTAGGATGCGTCACAGTTTAGACACTCCACTTTATACACAACACCGCACTGGGACTCAGGGGAGGTGTCATCTTTAGGTTTAGAAATGAGGTCGCGTAGTTTACGATGGGGTTTGAAAGCAGTGCGGATATTCAAAGGGGCGAGGGCCCTGCGAATAGACTCAGAAACACCTCTCAAATAGGGTATTGTTACTTGCCCTGTCCTAAGTCGTCCATTATCCTGACTTCTTTGCAGGTTTGTAGGTTTCACTGACGATGTTTTCCGGATGGGAGACGAAATGTTTGATTAAATTGTTAATCTTGTTGAGTAAAGTCGGAGCAGTTTTTTTTATCATTATGATTCCCGGCTTTTGGAATATTTTTGCATGTAATCTTTAGGTTTAGAAATGAAGTCACATAGTTTATGGTGGGGTTTGAAAGCTGTGCGGATATTCAAAGGGGCGAGGGCCCTGGGAATGGACTGAAAAGCACCTCTCAAATAGGGTATTGTTGCTTGCCCTGTCCTAAGTTGTCCATTATCCTGACTTCTTTGTCCCATCTGTTTGTGCGTGTTATTAATAAAACGTTTCGGATAATTCCGCTTCATCAGCAGGTCAACAATAACAGCATCCTCAGAAGCGCGCAAGCCGCCTCGGTGGCTCCGAGGCGAGAGCGCTGGCCTACGGATCCCCATGTGGCAGAGGCTTATTGCGGAGCAGGCGCCGTGTAACCGAGCTTTCGGTTGCACGTCGAAAGATCCCCAGGTAGTCTAAATTAATCCTCAGTCCTCCGCTGGGGCGTGCCAGATGCCCGTCGTTGGTTTAGCATGTAAATCCCCCAAATTTGACTTTTTTCTCAGAAGCGCGCAATTGAGGATTAGAAGAATTTCATTCGGACTGGTGTAGTAGGTTTTTTACGACAGCCCTTTTATGTTCGACAGAATGATGCGAGTTAAAGCTTAAGGGGGGATAGTACCCCGACATGCGACTTCGAGATGTTCTGCCATTATCTCAGCTCCTTCTGGGTAAAAACGGTTTAAACTTTCTGGGCATATTTCGCTGTCCTTCTAGCTATTCCAAGCAAAATATTATTTAAAACTATTGAGGTATTTTGTATTTATAAAAATTTGAAATAGAAGTTTTCTTGACTTAGTCAAGGAACATTTAAAATATAACTAATGCTAATAAAACAATGAAACTTCTCTCACATTTTCTATACAGTATTGGCATTTGACTGAACTAAAATAATAAGTTTGAAATGCTTAGGTCGTTCAAAATCAATTTTTGAACTTTGATACTTCAACTTAGGTGCTTTCTGCCTTGAGGAACTTGTAAATAAAAAAAAGTTTTCATGCAAATATTATATTTTTAGTTCAGTAGATGCGCAGGTTATGCAGCAAAACACGAGAGAAATATTACAAGAAAAGGTTCATTTGTTTGAGAGAAAATGTTCCTTATACGAGCAAAAACAGCGTTTTTCACAAATCACTTTTGAAAGTTTAGTTGTTCAACGCTCAGCCTAAAATACACCTGGTGCGTAGTCTTTAGCATCGTTTGCTTCAGATTTCTTCGCGAAACCTTTCCTTGCACTTGCTTTGGCCTTCCTTCTTCGCTTGCTCTGAGCAGAGATCCGAAAGTCACTTTTGACTATTCGGGCCTTGTCCATCCTGTTCAGGGCCACATTACAAAACACTCCAGGTGTGACGCCTAAAGTCTCAAACACTTGCTTCCTTGCTTGGTTGCCATTGTTGTAGAAGCTAACCGCGTCATACACGGCTGCTTTTACTGTGCATGCGCCCACAAATGTTGTCTTTGGGCACCTGCACCAGATCAGGTTATTCAGGGACTCGTTAGACTTCTGGGTTCGCCCCTGAAGGCACCTTCGTAGAAGCTCCGGTGCTGCGTCGTGAAAACTAATGTTTCACGATGTTTTGTCAGTAGCATCAATTAGAAACAACTTTTTTTTCCAGTTGCACCGTTTTTTTTTTTTTCAATGAGAGTTGCAATGTAAAGAAAGCTTTCTAAAGCCACGCCCACTTGAAAATGCTGATAGTATATTGATGACACTATTTTTAAAATACTTCTGGTGCTGCTACGAGCGTGCCGTTTGGAGAATATGTTCTGTATGAACCGTAGTATTTCTGGTTCTAATATTAAAAAAACTATTTTTGGGTTGTATTTACCTAGCATCCCTCCTTAAGAGGTTGCCTGTATCACAGCTTTGCGGTACACTGTTGTATATAAGCGACCGGTACTATTTCGGAACACATTAATATACAAAAAAGGCTTTGCACCGTTCTGTTCAACTTCATGTGTGAATTGGATTGATGATTCAATGCTGTTTAAAGCTAAATGAAAGTCACAAAAGGGACATGGCAAAGGCCACGCATGTGACAAGGGCGAAGACGGAACTCGTAGACCATTGTTGGAATACGGGACACAGTTTCGACTTTGAGAATGCGTCCACTCTGGCGCGTGAACAAAGGTGGGGTCCAAGCAGGTTCGTAGAATCATGGTTCATCCGAAATGGCTCATCAGCTTGTAACTCCAGCTGCGGCCCCCTCCTCAATGTGTATGCGGACTTGCTTAAATAGGACTGTTGAAGTTTCTTTCGCTCATTCCTGCTTCAAGGTTTCACCGACGATGTTTCCCAGATGGGAGACGAAACGTTTGATTAAATTGTTAATCTTGTTGAGTAAAGTCGGTGCAGTTTTTTTTATCATTATGATTCCCGGCTTTTGGAATATTTTTGCAGCACATTTAATGAAGAAATGGATGCCGATAAACACCTGCCAAGGTTGACTAAAAATAAACAGAAACATCCAATCAATAGTTATGATTGCACTAAGCGGTTGCTATGTGGATGTTTTTTTATGTTCAACAGCTCAGCAAAGTCTGCGGATCTGGTTATGCTTCCTGTACGAGACAGATCACGAAGCGGTTGCTGACTGACCAGTTGGGGCGAAAATTTTTGTGGGAAGGACGTAAGAGAAAGTTGACATTCAGGAACCTTCACCTTGCTGAGTGCATCATAAGTAAGTAATCTCTGGAACAGTAGTGCAGATCGCTTCACATGGAACCAGATTTATTGAATTGTTGGTGTCATACTTCTGTTGCTTTCTTTTATCAGATGCAGTGCAGAGCTGCCATAAATGTGAAGACTTCAAGGTAGAAACCATGGTCACGGATTAACTTCGCCACGCACCTGCCTGACATCAGTCATCTCAAGTGGTAAGCTGGTCTTATTAAGCTGATGTTAGCACAAAAATCAAACTTTTCTAGAACAGTAAGTATGGTGTGCAATTTCTTCAAAGCATAATTTCTATATGAGAGTATTTGAATGCTTTAAATATTAAAGCCAGTGACACCTTTTTTGGTTTAATTTGAGAGCAAATACTGCAGGTGTGAACAGTATTGAATAATTTTAAATAAAAAAAATTTTGTTTGGAGTGTTTCTCTAAGAGGAAAAATTTTATTATGTAATAGTACCTTATTATGAATTAAAAAGAATGCATAGACAACGAATTTTAAGAACACTGATATTTGATGTAAATCTAACAAACAAAAGTTGGCAATACAGTACACACATCCAGCATGAATGTGCTTTAAAAACAAGGCATAAAATACTTGTGATTTATTTACATCAGTTCCAATTCTTGCATATTTGAGTCACTTCACTTTGAACTTCACTGTTTTATTAGTTTTGTTTCAAAGAATGGTAAACCACTGCTCACATATCTTTAACGTAACATTTTTTCGTTGCTTTTCAGGAACATTCTCCACCACAGGAGAGAGAAATGTGAACTGCCTTAAGTGGGCCTTCATTGCGCTGAGCTTTTTATTATGTTTATCAGACATTTTTTTTAAGCAAAGTATCCTGCATTGTTCAGTAAGTATACTTTATTTTGAAAACCTCATGCTGTCTATGCAGCATTGTTCAAAAATTATACTTTATTTTAAAAGCATCAAGCACTGCTCGTCTGTCTAACAGTAACAATAAAGAGTTAATGGTGATTTGTTTGGCACTGCAACTTTTTCTACAGAACGGATGTGCATGCCTGACAGGCTGGGCAGGAATTGAGTGCGCTACTCACGTTCAAAGTTACGCTGCAAGACTGCAGCGGCATCTTTTGCCATGCAGTCGGTGCTACAGCTCTCATGGAATTCTGGTGTCCTCGTCACTAGAGCATATGACTACTGAAGCCTTAGACTTCAGTAGTCAATTCCTCAGGGCTATTCGTCATAGCTTATAACAATGTTTGTGTCCAGTATTTCAGTTCTCTCGCATGTGGCGAGGTCCACCTCACTAAAACGAGTCAGCATCAGTAGTGTCGCCTTCCTTGTCAGTGTCGTCTGCATTGATCCTGTGGTAAAGCTTCTGAGCTTGATGGTGAAAAAAAAACTTCAATATAAAGAATGTCTGCTGCGGGCCTGATTGCTACATTATACATCTGTAATGCGCCATTTAGGTATACATTGAGAGCATGCACGGGCCATACAGCAAATCTGCCCTCTGAGCTCTTGTTTTGTAAAGAATTGGACTCTTATCCGTTTAAATTTTTCTGTAGGACAGTTTACACGCTATATGCTAGCATAAAATGAAGGCTGCTTAGGCACTTCCTTGCCCTCCTGGCATAGGGCTGGTCCCTATACCAGGAAAGGTAATATCTCTGAGGTATGTACATGGTACATCCACAGGATCAGGCTGAACATCCTACAATGGTCCTGAATGTCCAGCTGCATCAACCAGATTGTGTTAGTGGTACGTTTTCTGGGGAACCATTTTGCACTGCACAGTAGATACTTTCAATGTTGGATGAATCGTAGCAGATATCCACTGGATATGTTAAATGTCCGAACAACACATCTCTCGGATGTTTAATAGACGGTTGCTGGTTGACTGGGTACCATCAAACCAATGTGCACCGGGGCACCTGTTGTCAATTACCGCTCATTGGTTTTCGCCCCCTAAACGCCATCAACCCAATGTGCACAGGGGTGCCTGTCGTCAATTGCCGCTTATTGGTTTTCGCCCCATAAATGCCATCAATCCAATGTGCACAGGGGGGCCTGTTGCCAATAGCCGCTCATTAGTTTTTGCCCCATAAATACCATCAACCCAATGTGCACAGGAGCACCTGTTGCCAATTGCTGCTCATTGGTTTTTGCCCCATAAATACCCTCAATGCAATGTGCACTGGGGTACCTGTTGCCAATTGCTGCTCATTGGTTTTTGTTTCATAAATGCAATCAGCCCAATGTGAATTCCCTAAAGGATTACCAATTGGTGCACATAGGTTTTTGTTTCATAAATGCATATTGCTCAATGTGTCTGGACCTACAGTTGCACATTGGTTCGATGTGAATTTTGGCCTCATTTCACATCGCCCATTTCCAGCAGGGTCGGCACATCTAAATCCAGAACAGTCGTCGAGAGAACCGCAAATGAAGGCAGCACCAAAACTAGCTCTCAAACTTTCCTGGGCTCCTCAGAAGTTAGATGTCACAGGCAGGATAACTTGCAGGGCGAGCAGATAGTTTAGAAAACCGGCAATGGCGCACATTTCTTTGTTGCTCCTTGAGCGAGTGCTGCAGTGTGCTTCTCTCATTAATTTGACACCGTCAAACATATTTTAGTACCCTGCTTTTGACTCCTACCGCCCAAACAGTAGGCCTGTTCCCACCATTTACCTCATTTTTTTCACTGTTCCCAGTAGAGATGTACAGTTTGAAAAATTGAAAGTTGAAATTCAATAACCTCTTGGAAAACTTTTATTTTCACATATACACGTTTGCAAGTCCGGTCTCAGGATACCGCCCTCTTGCTCAGTGGGGTGCGCTCTTGGGCGCGGCCATAATCCAATTACGACACCTTGGCAAGGCTTCGTAATCGGATTAGGACGCATCTAAGCGCACCCCAGCCGAGCAAGATGGCAGTGCCCTGAAGCCGGAGTTACAAACATGTATATGCTGATCTGTTGAGCTAAATTTGAGGAAAATCGGAGTCCATGAAAAGTGCCAAAGTTCCCCTCCAACAATTTTTCCATGGTCACCGATGTGACTCAAAATCGACTCAGCACCCCAAAGGCACATCTGAACTCGTAACCGGAATATTTTATTGAATTCAAGTCTTCTTGCACAGAGAATGAAACTTTAATTCTTTGTTCTTGTTCTCATCTTTTTTTTTCAAACTGAAAGTCACTGCTGGCAACACCGAAAAGTGACGTCAATGAAGGGTACAGGTTCAGTGTTTGGGCAGTAGAACTCGTTTGCAACTAATTACACAAGCTTTTATGGTTTGAAATAAGTGCTATTGAAGCCCATTGCAACCCGAACCAAGCAATCTGAAACAAATGCGCAACACTGTTTTTTCGACTGCCCGCTCAACCTGCATGTCTCTTTTCCCGGGATATCACACTGCTGGAAAGCGCAGGGAATTTCAGATGTTTATTATAGCATAACCCTCATTTGCTGTTTCCTCAGTACCCACTTTGAATATAGAATATCTAAATAGCACACTGAGAACAACAAAATCAGTGGGTTAAAAAAAAGGAAGTTAGTTTGGGAAGCTCAATATATCGGTGGAGTATTCCAACATTTACTATACGTTTAGTCACGTTCAATCATGTTGGCAATGTCACAAACATAGCTCTGTTTTTCTGAAGCAAAGTTAATAAAAAGACAACTAGTGGCAATATCTTTAGGCTCAACAATTTTTAAGGTGTTCTGAGGTGACAGGAAACACTCTTTAATATGCTGTGGCAAACGGTCATTTGAATTAGTGAGCACAACATTTTGGCAGAGCATGAAACACTTCTCATTCGGATGATTGACTACGAAGACTCGTTCAATGCGGAGATACCCTTCGTCTTTGCATTTTACAACTGTCAGGTTGCTTCTCGTAGCCCTTCTATATTGCTGACTGTGAAGTATCACCCCTGCAAACACAACCCGATTAAATTCGGTAGCTGAACTGAGTAGAGTGTTAAATGTTCTGTAAAAAGCTTCCTGCTCCTCGTGTGCGAACGTGGTCACAACCTTCGGGTGTCCCAACAGGGTTACCCCATCAACACAAATAGAATTTTGAATTCGTCGTCCTCCAAACATCTTTTGACATAGTTGTTTTACATGAGTAGCCAGAGGTAATTCATTTAGCAGAATGTTAACTTGCTGCAAAAGCATAACTCGCTCCACAATCTGAAGTGGCACTCCCTTCGCTGCTTTCGCTGTTTTTACGAGACGTCCGTTTCCTCCTTCAAAAACAAATGCTGATTGGGCCCAGAGTGGCTCAAGTTGTTTGGTTGCTTTGCTTAGATGGAGAATTTGGTGCAGATTGAATGTCATTGCTCGTTCATTGTAGAGGGACCTTGAGCCTGACACAAACCTCCTCAGCAGGGCATCTGTGTGGCATGAAATTAAGGATTAGCTTAAGTACACAAACAAAATGTTCAGCAACAACGCAACTGCAAAGTCAAGTTGAGCTCTTGAGGGATTTTCTGGAAATGTGTATTGGCTGTAGTGAATTTAGCTCATTATCATTGAGAGATTTATCACATTTTCTTATTGTTGAGGTCCTCTTGAACAATTCACAGCTCACATTTTAAGTAATGGATTAGATTCATTCAGATTCTCACCTGCTTTCTTGAGGGCACATGGTGTTATCTCTGAAGAAAGAAGTATGTAGATGGCTTCGACGAGTGTGGACCAATGACTCCAGTAGCGTCGAGGAAGAATGTTGAAGGTGCAAGGAAGGCTGTAATATAAAAGCCAATGGCGCCATTCACTGGCTTTCCAGTATCCTCGCTCGGACAGAGGTCGTGGTAGACGTGTGAACATGTGAGGGGGCTGGATAGCCAAGAGGCGGTTATTTACCGCCGCTGCTGTTGAGGGACTTCCTAAAAAAAAATTAACAGATTGTTTAGCATAATGTATTTTTGTATACTGCTACAATAGATGTTCAAGAATAATATATCTGAATGCAGACTACATTACTGTGGCAGGCAGTGCTTTTTGCATGTTATGATCCTAGTGAAAACTCATTCTAAGGCTCTAAGCAATGTAAAAATCCAAAAATCAGAACCATGCACCACCTGCTTTCCTATTAAAAATGTGAGCAAACATTTTCTTTTTATGCCATTTTGTACAACAAAACAAAAACACCAACCATTGTGAATACCACTGAGTGTTCTCTGCAATTATTTGGTAGCCATGTGGAGCATTTACAATGCACTTAAAAACCAGATGTCGAATACATGACAAGGAGTGTAGAGCCTCATACAGGATGAATACAGTTTAGGGCAGGGGTGGCCAGGCTGACCCAGCCTAAGAGTCGCAAACAAAACCACGAAACTTCCAAGAGCCGTGAACCGGGGGGGGGGGGGGGGTGCACTCTTTTGTCCAGAGCAATAAACGAAACTCGAACTACTTTCAAACTATCCGAGTCAAAAGCGGTCCAACTGTATGTAAGGTAGCAGTAGTACAAGACTGCCAAACTGCAACCTGTCTTTCAATTTAAAATGTGTTCCATTTCTCTTTTTGGGGAAGTGCTCGTGTGGTGTTGGACCGGGGGGGAGGCGGTGGAGTGGGGGGGGGGAGGGGAGGGGAGGAGAGGAGGAGGGGAGGGAGCTGCAACTTAACACGCAAAGAGCCACATCTGGCTCGCGAGCCGCAGCTTGGCCACCCCTGGTTTAGGGTATGGCAAGCATTATGAGATAAGATTTAGCCACAGCTTACCAATGTAATAACTCTCTGGAGTACACGGAGTTGAACATGTAATCGGTGAATTGCCGTGTTACTCCGAGGAGTACGCTGTGCATGTAGTCAGCACCATATCCCCATACCAAGTTGAAGTGCGTGAGGTTTATGAGGGGTGAAGGCCCCTTGATGCCGTTTACGGGATTGTTGAATTGCAGTGCGAGCTCCATATCGCGATGAA